CCCCAAAACCCCAAAACCCCAAAACCCCAAAACCCCTATATCTCTATGTATTATTGAATTTATAAATGGTCTAGTGCAACTTCCCTGGTGCATCTTTGTGCTCAAAGAATCTGATCATCCATATGATGTAGAACACGAGCACGAAAATAAGGGCCACTATGATCAGCAGGATGTACTTCACTCAGACCCCATAAGAGGTAAATAACTTCAAATATCTCTCAGTCTTCTTTTGGAGTTTGTCATTTTTGTAGTATTTTCCGTAGTAAGAATCATCATAATCATGTCTACGGCCTTTCCTCTGGCTTCTTGAAGTGAGCCTATCCTCATCAAGGATCAACTCTTGGGCTTCGGATTCATCGTTGTAAAAATTTAAATGGCTGCTTCCAATGCAGCTGCCTGAAGAGTCTCGCTCATGTTGGTGCATATTAACTAATTCAGATGTGCCTTCGTCGATATCTGAAAGAAGCCTTTTGACCTCCCAGAACATTTCATCTGCTTCTTTGTAAAGAGTGAGGTCGTCGATGGCTCCACTGAGATCAGAGACCTCTCTGAGCTTTTTCACAACACCTTTCATCAGCTTGAACTGTTTCATTACTTGGCTCAAAGTAATTTTTGATCTATTGCTGCTCTTATCGAGACGATCTCTCAGTTGGATAGCTTCCTTCTTAATAGAAGTATGAAGAGTGCTTATTTTATCAAAAATATTCCTTCATTTATTTAGATAGCCTTTCACCATCATCATATCAGCAATCGCCTAAGAACCTCTCTTTCTCAACTGATTCATCACCTATTTATAATTTAGATGAAAAATTGTGAAATTTAGCTTAAAGATGTCTAAGCTTACTCGCATAACCTATTTCCGAGATTCTGCCGCCCTCTATAAATCCATTATTAGGCCAGCAATTGTGAGAATAAATCAGGAATGGAGTAAAATCAGAAGTTCAAGAATAGAGATGTGACACTTTAGGCCTCATTTAGTGGTCCTACTCCTCAACAAGGCTTAAATTTTATCAATGCTGTGAATGAGTCACAATGGAGTTGATCAACCTACCGCTGGTATCCTGAGGGTTCTCTTCATCATCCCTGTTTCCGTAAGTTTCCATTTTATTAGAATTTTTATAACTCAACTGCACATCAAGTGATGGGGTTTTGGGGTTTTGGGGTTTTGGGGTTTTGGGG